TTCTTCATTTTATGAGCACACTTGTTATCTCAGATTCTCCAGCATCTGCAGTTCCTACAATAACCAAAATATCCTCGTTATTATCTATATTGGCATAAGAGAACAGCTTTTTAAACAATTTCTTGTGAAAATTTTGTGCTCATAAAATGAAGAATGTTAGTATTATAGAATGAATTAGTTTCCTTTTAGGGAATCAACATGGTCCATTTTCAATGTCTTTGCCTACCATTAACAAGATGGAAATGCATTCACAATACGGTTGATAGTCTTAGAAACACAGCACTAGGCATAGGCCATTTAGCCCATTGAGTTGTTCCACCATTCAGTGAGGTCATGGCTATTCTAGGACCTAGATCCATATCCTTGCCCATGAACCTTCATCTAGCCAACAATCACAGATTTAAAATTACTAATTGATCTGGCATTGCTGCTTGTGCTAGAAAATTTCAAATTTCTACAGCCCTTTGTCAGAGTCATACAGCATGGAAACAGACCCTTTGGTCTGACTCATCCAAGCCAACTAGACATTCCAATCTGACCTAGTCCCATTTGCCAACATTTGGCCCATATCCCTCTAAACCCTTCCTTTCATTCACCCATCCAGATGCCTTTTAAATGCTGTAATTGTACCCACCTGTATCACTTCCTCTGGCAGCTCATTCCATACACACAATATCCTCTGCATGAAAATGTTACCCCTCAGGTCCTTTCTAAATCTTTCCTGTCTCACCTTAAACCTATGCCCTCTAGTTTTAGGAAAAAGACCTTGGCTATTCACTCTATCCATGCCCCTCATGATTTTATAAACCTCTATAAAGTCACCCCTCAGCCTCTGACTCTCCAGGGGACAAAACCCCAGGCTATTCAGCCCCTGCCTATAACTCAAATCTTTTCTGTATCCTCTCAAGTTTAGCAATATCCTTCCTACAGAAGGGCGACTACAATTGTACACAGCATTCCGTGTGACAAAGTGTTTCCTAATTTCACTCCTGGAAGGTCTGGCTCCAAACTGTGCTCCCTAACCCTGGACGCTCTAAGTAATGGAAATAATTCCTCTCAATCTATCCAATTAGTTCTTAATAGCCCTGCTGGCCTGAATGCCAGTTTCTTGGCTCCAGCCCACCCCAACCATTTTTCTGAAGTCCCAATAAGGTGGGTGGCAGGAAAACCCTCTTAGTTTTGGTGTGTAGACAATATTACTCATTAACAGCCTATAAAAACCAGCTGAAGGAGGTCAAATGGAGATTTCCAGTCTGCTTCCAGGCCTCTGTTGGCAGTAAGAGCTAGCTTAGATGCTTGGAGGTGGACTCTCTACAGGAAGCTGGGGTTGGCGAAGGGGGAGGGAGGCTAATACTCCAAGAAGGGAGGCCTGGAGTCCCTCATAACATGCTGATTTGCACCAGCAGCAAGCAGAGAGGAATTTCCCCTGGCTCACAATGATTTCCTGGATGAAAAGACCACTTTGAAGTCCTATCTCTCTTACGTTGCTTGAATTGCAGCCTGCTCCTATTTTCAAGCTGGAAGTCCTCTGATTGGCTCTTCAGCTTCAAGAGATCACCCATTATTTTTAATTGGATAGTTAGCCTGCCCTCTGCAGGGAAAATGACAATCAGCAATTATTTGCTGTACAGTGCAGCTTTCTGATAGCCTGGCAACAAATTCCTGTCCTGGGACTCTGAGAAAGCTAAGAGGAGATTGTGTAATTGTGCTTAATATTACGAGGTGGCATGAATAAGGTAAATTAATTTAGAAAGGTCTATCAAGCTATTATGTTGCTAACATGAGGGTATAAATTTAAGATAATCACTGAAACAGCCTTTTTTTAATATACAGCACAGTTAGGATCTGGATGCATCTCCAGAAATTGTGGAAGCAGAATCAATCATAGTTTTTAAGTAAGCTGCAAATCGAAAAAGAAAAATTGACAGTTAGCAAGCAGGGGGAATGGGAATAAGTAGAGGGCTCTTTCAGAGAGCTGACAAAGATATGATGGCTGACTGGCACCTCTGTATGCTGTAAAATTCCATTATCCTAATGCTCTAATGTGCTATAACTCCAATTTCAGAAAAAAAAAGACACCCTTTACTGCAGGAGCGTAATATTTCATTACCAACACCAGCCATCCTGTGACCTCTCTGAGATTGAGAAGATCACATTCAGGTCAGGAATTATATTGTGGCAACTAGAAACCTTTCGAGATTACCCAAAGTGACTTCATGGAGAAGGCAGACAGACATTTCATCAATGGCACTAGATGGTTCAAAACTCGGTCACAGAAGTGGCTAACTACGGAAGGTAGATGAGATGTTTCTTTTTTAGGAAATGGAGCACTCCCTCTCTTTGTGGTTCCTTGCATGAAAGGGAACTGCTTGTCAAGCATGTCAAGATTACTCGCGCCTGGCCTTTTATGCTTATTCAGAACAGAATTTTAAATACCGTTCCAGTTTTAGGTCCTCGTCGTTTCTTCTCAGCACGCTCCTTTTCTTCAAGTTCTGAGTTTTCTTTCTCGATTAGAGATATTAATGTATTGCAGCGTCTCTGGAGTTCCTGTAAAAAGGATAGGAAGAAAAGAAAAGCTATATCCATCGATATCAAAGTACTGGTGAGGGCAATCTCATTGAAACATATGACATTCTTTAAGGGTTGGACAGGTTAGATGCTGTGTGGGATTTTTTTTTCCTGACTGGGAATCAAGAACCAAGGGTCATAAGTTTAAAAATGAGGAGTCATCATTAATCAACCACTTGAGGGCCTTGTGATTGTGGGTGAATCAAGAATGTCACTCATGGACCTTCTCACCCAGCACTTCAATGCAGAGATGGCAAGCAGGGGATTAGCTTCCTACTGGTAAAATTCACTCAATTACTTCCACTTCTTGCCACCTCCAGGAAGGGGAAAATCGCACCCTATGTTTCTAACTACTTTGTTAGATTGGGACTAAAGAACATGGCCATCATTTTATAGTAAAATCACAAAAGCAGATAAATGTTCAAGTTTTACTGTCACAGCTATTAGATTTAAAGAGTGTAACTGTAATTTAATTGAGCAAATTACTTGCATCACTTAAAGACTGAAACAGCCAAACTAAAGCTATCCTAAATACATTTTGCACAGATTTTTCATCTGCTGAGTTTCAAACCAATTTATGAAATATATTACTTGCAAATGTTTTTCTTTGAAGGTGACAGTCAAGTCTAAAAAACAAACCGAAGCCACTGTTCTCAAAGGCACCTTGGAAGACTTTTTTATACAAACAAAACTCTATAAATACAAGTAATTGGTAACTGTTTGTGCGTTGTGAATAAATCTTGACAAAATTAATAGACATTAGGGTCTAAGAGGGTTTTTTAAAATTTGCTCAGCACCATGTAGATCTTATATATGAATGATAATGTCACATTTAATTATTCTGAATGTACAATTTATAACTCTCCCAAAACAAGCACCACCCTAGCATTTAATGAACATAACATGATCTTTGTGAGGGATTTTAGTGCCTGTCAATGGAGAGTTCAAATCTTTGCAGCATTTAAACCAAATTTTAGCAATTTGAAAACCTTGTGAACATTTCCATATTAACTTAACGCATCTTACCATTGCGGTCCTGGACTTGATAAACCAATCAAACCTAAACTGTGGGGCATTGCGCACACATTGTCGCAGTTCATCATACACATTTTCCTTATCAAAGCCCATCTTGTGCAGCATACAGATCAGGAAGCGATCTTCCTCTTCTGTATAATTTTTTCCTTTGTTAGTTCCATATTGAATACGCAGTTGATGGAAAGGAGCTTTATACCTCGCCATCTGAAATGAAGGTAGAGATGGACACAAATTAGAAACATGTGCCAGCCCAGAAAGTTCACCCTCAGTAAAACTCGGAGTCAGATTAAAAGATGGCATATGTGAAGTGAATCACCCAACATCATCTTTAAAACAGAGCTTGACATTCTAGAAAAGAATGTTAAACTCTCTGCTTTAACAATAGTTTACACAGGTAGTTCTCCTATAACACAATAGTTGTGTTCTTGTGCATCCTCGCACTATAGAAAATCACATTATAGGGAAATCGCTATACTAGAAAGTTTGCGTTATCTAAACAGCATTCACTATTCATCAATCACATTGCAGCCAATTCACATTAACGAAACATGCATTACAGCAGAACTACCTGTAGTATAATCCATTAGTAATTTTAAAGGTAAGGATACAGAAAATGCTAAGATCTTCAAAATAGGTCTTTTAAAAGTGTTCATTATTGGATTAACTTTTCATCTGACTGCACAGCACGCCATCAACATTGCAGGGAATGTCAACCCAGATTATAAGTTTAAGGATATTAATCCCACTATCTTCTAACAGACAGATATGTACTAACACATATGAACTATGAAACAGTTCTGTGTTCCATACTGTCAACTTCACACATGCCACTCATGTTGCATCAGAACTGTGCAGTTCAGAAGTCCTGTGCAGGCTGAGCATGTGTCAACTCTCTTAAATTACCATGCATACATGAGTATGCCTAAAGTTTCACTGCCCAAGCATTTAAATGAATGCACGGCAAACAAAAAAATACAATTAGAGGGAATACTGCACGTCATTTAGTGGTATTAAGAAAATTTTTTTAAAAATCACCTTTGCATCTAAAGCTTTCTTTATGCTAATCCGTCTTTGAATTCTTGACTCCCCACGCTCAATCTGGGCCATGATCTTCTCGATGTCCTGTAATTCATTGCAGCGTTCCCAGAAAACAGCTAAAACACAGATTCAAATATATGTAAAGAATGAAACAGCCTGTGATACCATAAGAATATCTGATCACACGACAAAACCTCAACTATCCTTGCTCCTATTTCAATTTTCCCGTTCATCTCCCAGAGTTTCAACCGAAAAGGCAGCTGTTAGTTTGTCAAATATTAAAAGCATCTCTTGTCAAATAATTCAGTGAGTGTAAAGACCACATTTCCTTTAGTTTTCTTTATTTTGGATTGTGGGCTAAACTGGGAAGAGGGCAAGGAATGTGGAAGGAGTTGCTGCATGTTTAAAAACAAGTTATCGGAGCTCATTGTGAACTGTGTTTATACTGTTGCTTTGTTCAAGCAATGGAGGAAGATGTCTAAGATGCCATGACAATATGGGCATGTGATCAGAGCAAACTTTGCCCAGAGACAGAGAGCTGATTGGTTGTGCAATAAGGACCAGTTGGGGAGGTGAGGAAAACCACCATCTGGTTTCTGGCAGGTAGCCCTGAGAATGTGCGAACAAACAGACAGAAAACTCCATACTGCAAAGGAGAATGGTTCTCTTTCTCTCTCCACAGTGAGGTAACAAAACTAGGAAGATAGCTATAGTCTCTCACCATTTGCTATAAGCAGTTGCCTCTAAGCAGTGACTGAACAATTACAGTATCAACTGCTCTGTGTCTGCAGTAAAGAAACTCGGTGAGAATAAGAAGCTCAGAGATCAAAGGGACTTGGGAAGCAAAAGGGATGCCTCACTGAATCCTGTGGACTGGTGCTATCAATATTTTTCCCCCACCCTTAACATCCATGTTTGTTTATTTCTCTGTATCTGTCTTAATGTATATGTGAAATGGTTTAAGAAGGGAGCTAGCATTTCAGCTCAGGAGAACTCATATGTTTATAATTCATAGTTTTGTAAACCTGTGGTTAAAATTAATTTCTTTGTAAAAATAGTCGTTTCTTGTTATCTACAGAGATCCGGTCAGAGTTTCCTGCTAACGTAAGTGCATCAAACAGAAATAGTGGAGACTTTGAGTAACTCGATTAAAACTTTAGTTTTTGTGACAATCCTGGGTGTGGTGGCCTCGAACATCAGCACACTTTCCCAAGTCAATCATAACAGATTTTTAATTATCTTCCACTTTCTATGGCCCACGGTAGGCAGCCAAAATGCTGGGTGACTCAAATTTCACTGTGAAAAGATTTTTGTATTAAAACAGTACGTTCAATTTAAACAGGAAGAAAACCTAAATCTGTAAGGGAAAAAATGCAAAACTACAAAATATCTTCAACAACAAGATTTTTTTTGTCAAACCTAGATTTACAATTGATGTTTGACGACCAAAACTAAGAAGTATATTAATTATGTCAAGAACTGGAAACACATTTACCAGAGTATTCAATGACCTCTTCCGGAGTTTTCCCTTCAACCTCTCGGGCAATGTTATCAATATCATCTCGACCATACTTCTCATTGGCTTTGATAAACTGGTTGAAGTCCCGCTTGTTCCAAGTTGTGAAACCCTAGCAAACAATTTGCCAGTGGCAATTTGAGTAATGCAACTTACATTTACACTGCAAACTCATTACTACAAGTAACAAGTAATCATTAAACGTAACAGGTAATTTTGGAGTAAGGGATATTAAATGTGGAGAGTTGAGAATTCCATCAGTTTTAGTTAAATGTCAATGTCTTTTGATCATTCTAATTATCCCTCAATACAAATAAATTAATTCCAAACATTGCAAAACACAATTATTGTAGATTAATCCTATTAATTAAGTTAGTATGTTATAATATTGTAGCATGTGATGGAAGATCACAATTTGAACGCAAACAGAGGATTTCTTTTTAATTATTAAAAATTAATTAATAGTCAATATGATAGGGCACACAGGCAGGTAGTTAGCTGAAGAAACACTCAAGATCGATTTTTAAGCTATATATAGGACTCAGATGGTTAGAATTGATAAGTTTTTTTGTTTCAAAAACATTTTCAAACTCCCAAGACAACGTTCATTAAGCAACCAGGTGAAACATCCAAAAGCTGCTGCGATTCTGATGGGAACAGACATTCAACTGATGGCTAAATTCCAAACCCAACGAAGGTCAGATCTTCAGGTCAAAACTTCCTGCATACAATTTCAACATGCACTGGGCAATATTACAGCAAATTAAATCATATCTGGTCATTTATATTTTTGTGTTTCCTACAATATGTGTTACATTTGTTAACAGGATAGGATTAACAATTGTGCAAACAAAATGGCGATAATAAAAAAGCTTTACATACAGCATTTAGTTAGTTCACTTCCTTAATAAGGTTTTTACTGGCAGCTGAGCAGTTTTTTGGTGGTCCTACTTCTTTGATAGGTAGCTTAGGAATGTGTTTTGCTGTTGTTTTGTGAATGATATGCAAGATACAAATAAAAAATGCATCTTCAACTTTGTTGGACAAATGACAGAAACTATTCTGCAACAGAACTGAAAGACTTGTGCAAGTGCTATGTAAGCAATTACAGTATCATACATATATATGCATTCTTAAGGATTTTGCAATTCCAACAATGAAGAAGATGTAGATCAACATTATCTTTTGTTTAAACTGGAGCAGGCTTGGAAGTACACCTGTGTAAGAAGCTTCTCTTTTTCTTCAACTTCCTTCTGATTGAGAGGCAGTGCATCGTCAATTTTCCGCTGTTCTTCCTTTTGTACCTGAGCTGCATTGTGTAAGTCAGGATTCCTGGGGACCTGGAATCATTCCCAAATGAACTGCAAGTTACTTATATGCATTACTCCATACTGTTATATTCTTATAGTGGCATCCAAGGAAATGCAAGGGAATAATGCAACTGGCTTGTCTACCTATGAAAAGAGTTGCCTTTAAAAGACTTCAAAAGACAGGTTACCTCCAAATCTCAACATTGTAATAAACTGCATCCACATTTCATGTATTCCTTTGCTTCTTAAAATTGTTTGTTTGGAAAATAGTTGCATCTGCAACATCACATTTCACTGAAGATTCAAACACTGAATAGATTACAGATTGTAAATCCAAACACAATATGTTGCATTTAAAAACAACGGTCAAGATTAAGTGTAATAAATTAAGATTAATATTAAGCTCCTTTGTGTAACAAAAATATCAACCACAGATTAGACTTCCATCATCAATACCTACAATATGCTGGAACTAGAACATCAAATGGGCCCAGAGTTGCAGCTTGGAGGTAACAAAGAATTTGTCACTGAAAATGTGCCTCAACTGTTCACTGTCTGAAGTAACTGACAACAAATGGACTGTCAGAGAAGGTTATGGGGAGAACCCTAAGTGAGATTTTCATTTGGAGAACTGCTCAGACATGTGCTGAATGGCCTACTTTTGTGTGATAACAATTCTGTGAACACTTCACCCAGGCTCAATTATTTAGTACAATCTCAATGAGGATCAGAAGGCTTGCAGTCATGCATTAAAACAAACAAACTCAGTTTTTGTTGACTCAATGCAAGTGCACACTAACATTAACATGAAAGATGTAGTCAAATTTTAAGGCATGGTGAATGATAGAAGTAGTATTGGGAAGCCATGAACTCTACATCTCCATATTTGATGGATTATCTTCATTTTCTCTACAAATGTAAAGAGGTTTCAATGGGAAAAGATTGACTTTGTGTGATGCTACTGATGTTCATTGTACTAGAATACAACACAGTAGCCCCAGTGCACTGTAAAGGATTTCACAGAAAGTCACAGAATCATTTACACCCTAATGTAAAGAGTTTCAGCCAATTAGTTAACTAATTAATTCTTACCACACATCGGCAGTGCATTACCTTGTAGCCTATACTTTTTCTATAGGAAAGGATTTCTTTCTCCAGTAGTTCAAATAGGCGTGGTGGAAAAAACTGGAAATCTTGAATACTTGGCTGTTTTGGAGGTCGGGGTGCCTATAATACACAATGATTACAATCAGAATGGAAATATTCAGTGTTTGCAAATAATCTCTCTATTTAAAGACATCTCTTTTGTCTGTTTGCAACAACTGTACATCATTTTTTTGTTGTTTTTAATCATCTTCTTTTGCTCTTTATAAAAGACTTCCAAGAAAAGAAAAAAAAACATCTTCAATGATAATCCTTCACATTTTTAAAATACAGCAAAGCAACCAACTAAAACTTCAAAATTTCAATCATTAAGTACCTTTGACTGGATCAGAATAGGCTAATCCATTTTTAAAATAACCTAAAGCAATTTTCCTGGAAAGCACTTTGCAAGCCTAATGGAGAGGTAAGCATGTGTTAACCCACACCTCTGCCAAGATTCTTTTGTACCTGCCAACTAAATAGCAACAAAGGATCAGGTTGAGGAACAAATCACATTCATATGATACTGTTTGGAGAAAAAAACAACTCTTTACAGTTTGGAGTATGAATTTTAAAAATAAAGTCTAAGAACTGAGGAGGGAATGAAAGTGGCAAAAGAAGAAACATTTTTAAGGAAGCTTCTACAGTAATCAAGACAGTCAGCACGATGAAATAGCTAAGCAGAATCACAGTAAAGTGAGCCTGCAAACTTGAAGTGGATTATCTCCAAAGTCTAAGTCCACTGAAAATGTTCCCAAAGCAGAGCTAGTTGAAGCGTTCAAAGATAGGGAGAGATCTTTTTCAAAAGGAGAAAACGAATGGGCAGAACTTTCCCTTCTCTTGGTATGGTATGAGCACAGGTCTCATCATCGGACAGTGACCATTGTAGTTCCACATGTGTCTCATTAAAGCCCCAACTTGCTTTATTTATATGCCTTTGCCAAGTCTACTCTCTATTTCCCAAGAAACAAGGTGGTGCAAATTGCCGACATAAATCAAAGCAGGTACCTGGCAGCTGCAAGTTGCCTGTCCCAGCCACCATTTGACTGCTTCTTCACGTCCTTGCATGCTCCGAGGTTACCTCTTCATTTACAGTTGGCAGTGGCTGACCACCAACCTTGCCACATCACCATGCCTGCCACTGGTCTGACTCAGGCACCAGTTCAGCTCTTCAGCATTTTACTATGCAGGTCATGGACACCCATGGTTTGCAAGTTTACACATGGGTCAGTCTGAATGCAGGGACACACATGCATCCACTCAGCACTCACCTTATGACTGTTTGCTTGCTTTCTTAGCATGAAATCACTTTGCACTTAACTTGAGGCCACCAGCCTCTGTCTATTTCACATTGCTTTCCCGGTGTGTACTCGCTGATTTACGGACTGCCGGCCTTTGCATAGTTTACATTGCTTCAAGCGTAGAAGAAGAGGCAGACAGCTTGTGATTCTGGAGAGCACTAAACAGTCGAATGGGTGGACATGAGCTGTTTGGCGCCATGCTGTCAACATCACATCTCCAGTATGTGTCACAATTTACACTACAAAGACACTACAAGTGCTTCATGCAAATGGCCATGTGTAAAAGTCAAATAGAAGCAAAACAAACTGAAGTGAATAAGGCCAATGGACACTCAGGGGGTACCACAACAGTCAGTTCAAGCACTCGTTTAGTTCCACTCCATGCGGTTGGCCACGGTCAGTCAGGTGCTTGGTTCTATTACAGTCTGGCAATCTGGCCATGGTCAGTCCTGCAGTTCAAATATAACCAGTCTGAAAGTTATGAGTGGCTGTGAAGATATCAGTACAGATTAGAGAGAGGCAATGTCTCCTGCACTGAGGCTATAGAAGGGGTTCGACTAAGATGGAAGGGTCAGTCGTGGTTAAGCACAAGCAGAAGAATGAGTGACCAGGAAACACAAAAGGGTAGGAAGGTTTGCAGTTTGGGAGGATGAGGTGGATGAGAACTGTTGAATGTAGCTTACCACACTAAGCGTTGCAGTCCATAAGCCTTAGTGCACGGCTGATGAGTGGTGGTCTCTGAGTTAGGGGTGAGATAACAGACAGGCTATGATGGTACATTGCCTCGGACAGAACAGGTAATCATCAGACTTCTTCATGCTCTTCGGGTGACCCTGTTCATTTACTGAACTGCTCTGGTGATGCAGTCTCCTGTGGTAGATCACAGGAAAAAAGGACAGACCTCCTCTCCACCATGATCTCCAGGTCTCTGTCTCTAAACTGAGGAGCAAGCTTTCCTTTCCTCTGGGCCATGCTCTTGGTGATAACAGTCGACCACCACAGAGTGAGGGGTAGTCCCTGGTCAGCAGTGTCTGAAGTGCAGCTAAGCTTTAAATATGGCACCAATGATGTGCACGCCAGAAATCAACAACAGCGACAAGAACGTGCACCTCCTTCCTGCCCCACGGTTCCCCAGAAAGGTACCCGGAAACCTGGTTACAATAATTGATAAGGTGAAGAGCAAAAGATTGCATGAGAAAAGTTGCTCTGAGCTGTGGTGTACTGGATGCCAGGAAACTTGACAAAATGCATTCACTAAAATGGGAAAATTCCCGCAATAATGACTGCGTTGGAATTGGGACTGATGATCAAAGGGAATTTTGGGGATGATCTCTAATCTTTTGTTAAATGGGGTAAAATGGTCAATAGCTGAACAGTCACCTACTGTGTCACGCACAACTGGACTTGTCTTAATTTTTTTTAGTTTCTTCTTTTATTATACTATTGTGGAAGAACTATTACTCTAAACTTTTATTTCTTTATTTTCCAATTCATGACTATGATTTTGTACTTTTGAAGGTCTGCAATGCTGGACTTCTCATTTCTTTGTATTTTTTTATCTTTTTCCTAAGAATTTGGACTCCAGAAGCTGTACCTAGGTACCTTTGTACCTAAGATGGCGCCCAAGTGGTGACTTGTAAACTTTTCACTGTACTAAGGTGAGTACATGTGACAATAAAGCTAGTTCATTCATTCAATCAATTTGTCTTTCTATTACTATCAATGCACCAAAGAACTTTCAGAGAAAGTTTACAAGACTAATATTGGTTATCTTATGGGGAAGGGTTAGACAAGCTCATCTATTTTTCCACTGGCGTTTAGAACAGTAAGAGGCAATTTGACTGAAACGTGTAAGATCCTGCAGCATCTTAACAGGTTATATATGTCTACAGGATTCTTCCTCTTTCGAGGAGAATCTAGTACTTGGGATCACCATTTAAAAATAAGAAGTCATCTATTTAAAACAGAGATTAAGTGTTTTTTTTTTAAACTGTTGAGTATCCTTGGAATTCTATTCCTGAAAAGATGTTGAAAATAAAGTGTTTGAATAATTTTAATGCAGATGTGTACAGATCCTTGTTTTAAGCAAGGAAGTAAAAGGTTATCAGTGTTAGGCAAGAATGTGGATTTGAAGTTAAATCAGTCACATCTTTAATAAATGGCAAAACAGACTGGAGGGGCTGAATGGCCTACTCTTGCTTGTTGTTTCTATGTACCTTCATATTTATGCCGTTCAAATTGAGTGAAAATCCTGGAAACCCAGGAAAATGATATGCAGAATGCTGAACTGAGAGGATGTTCAAATAAAAATTAAACAGGATAACTTCATGTGATGAGACAGGGGAATAACAGGTCTGAATTCTTGCACCATGATTTAGTTTCAAACCCAAAGATGTCTTTTAATGTTCCATCAGTGCAGACATCAGTGTAGTGCTTTTAAACATTTCATCAAATAAAAGCTTGTATTTATTCAATGCTCATGATATAGAAGAACTTTGGGGAATGCTTTAGAAGAAGATAAAAGAGTTGAGAGAGCTGGGGGACCAATGCCACAATCAAAGGCAAAAACGTAAGCAGACTTTGAAAGAGAGGAGGGAGTTTTGACGAGAAAGCATAAAGGCCAAGACTGTAGTAACTGAACAACCCTCCTGTGAGTAATATTTTACCCCAAGATCAAACACATCTGATATTAATCGGTCAACCTGTTCATTTTCTGTCAGGAAAATGTTGCTTCTGAAGTTCTGAGAGGTAATTCAAATAATCAGGTAGAACAGGAGAGGAAATTTACCCTGTGAGCATGATGCAGCAAAATCACAAAGCCCATTCTTCATAAATCTGACCTACAATTTTGATACAGATAAGGCAGACTCTTCTCTCTGCACCATCCTCAGCAACCTATTACAGACGAGCATTCTCCAAGGAAATCAAAGCAGCTAAGGTACCCAGGAAGTGTACTATCACATGACTAAATCTTTATTTTGTTCCTGTGCCTTTGGATAATTTGGTAGTTCTAACCGTCACAAACTACTAACCATAACCTTAAATACCATTAGGCTCAAGTCATTTGAAATTCAAACATATAGATTTCTTCACCCCTTTACCTTTGGTGCTCTCGGCTCACTGACGCGTAAAGCTTCTCGGAAATATGCATCTACTGCATAATTGGCTTTCCGCTCTCGTTTGGGAGGTTCAATCCACTCTGTTAAACCAATCTGTTCATTTGAAAGAAAAAACAAACAGAACATTTTTATTAACGCTCTGCATTTAAAACTGGCAACAAAATCATTAAATTTGATACATTAGGTTAGTATCTATGCTGTAGATCACAGCGCATAAGTCAATCTTGGAAGTGTCCAAAAATGGTGGCTGCCTTACACACTGAGCATAAAACGTGAGCCACTGTTGTGGGTGTAGGTGGTCACCCTTGCAAAATGTAAATGAAAGCTTGGCCACATATTCTTTGAATGTGGCATGGTTTATTGAATGCAATTACTGTACAAATATAACCTGAACCAAAATGACTTACACAACCATTGAAATTATTGCATCGAATGCTGAAGACATATAAATCATTGACATTATTCTCAGTCAGACTGGTTGTGGCATCATTGTAAGGATCCTATTCTAGATCAGGTACTTTCACTTTCAGAATTAACCCTACACAATTAAACATCTTCCTTTCCAGATGACCCACTTTGCATTAACAGCATCTCACAATTGAATGATGAAACCACACAAAACATCAGGCGAGCTGTGCACTTCTTATGTGAAGGTATTTCCCTGTCAATCATCCACCTATTCCATTCCGTTTGAATAAGATGGTTGAACAATGGCTTGTGGAGGTAAAATTTTGGCTGATAAAGCCCCAGGTATAGCTGTTATGTTGGTGTTATTTATTGATGGGCACCTCTTGATCTCACTGGTAATACAGGGCTAGAATCTTATAGGGGTCTCAGCAACAGAGGCTATGACAAGCTTTATGTGAGAATCCGACAAGAAGTCTACCGAAGGCTCATTTTAATGTCAGGAATATCTGACTCCATCTTTTATGCTTCTGACAAGCAGCGTGACAAGTTCCTCGCTAGGCAACAGCGAATTACCAAGTGACTCGTTAAACACCTTGTTAATGGGAATGGTGGTGATGATGGAAATATGGTATGATGTGAGGGCACCCATAGGGTTGGGGTAGGTATTTAACAAGGCACATTTGGTAAGACGTGGAGCACATTTGGTAAGATATGGAGAGAGATCTCATTGGAAGTATCCCTCCAAAAAAAACCCGACCCAGCTGGCACAAAAAGAAACAGAAGATTCAGCCCAGTGTAATCGTTCCAACAAATTCCAAGGACTTGTTCTGATAACCACTTCTCAAGACCAGGCAGTTGCTGCTGCCTCATCTGTTGGCACATCTTCTTCAAGGTGATTCCTTCTTCCTCCCTTCTTGCACCAGTTTTTTGCCACACTGAATTCCCTCGATGAACCACCATTATTTGCTGAATTAACAAACATTATGATTCTCACCTTGAAAGCAACTTTGTAATTCATTCTATTTGTTGGAAGACACATTTATGATTGTCGTTTGCAATCTGCTCTGTATGGCATGGTCTTTAGCCCCCATGCATCTTTTTTGCAACGTAGCCTTTATCAAAATCTGCTTGATCTCATGCACTGAGGAAAATAAAATACACAGTGTGTATGATGAAGAATTTGAGGCCAACTACGAATAGAAGTATCGACTTTCTTAGCTGGAAAAGACCTTCTTGCTGAGTATATGCAAAAGCATGAGACTGATGATAAGAAAAGGAGTCATCTCACACACCAGGTTGAGTTATACACTGTCATGTATAACGCAACATGTTACAGATTTTGCACGCAACTTTGTTGTTTCTTTTGCTGTGTGGCAAGATCACAGGAGTAGCTTTTAATTTCAGACCAAAACAGCATCAATTCACTGGTGGTTGATCCCCTGCAACCTACAGTTTTGAAGGGTCAAAGATAATCTTATTTCTGTTTGCAGCCAGCTAACCAGTCTGGCCTGTGGGGGACTGCAAATCCATTGAGGCTGCAAATGTGTGGAGAATGCAAGTTGGCAATGAGCTATAGTTTTCTGAAGCCTGCAGGAAAATTCTTCTCCAAAATTTCCCTTGGTTATTTTTGGAAAGGCTTATGGGACACTCGTAAGGGTACCCAATCCTCGGTACAACTGGATCTATGTGAAAACAGACAAGTTTCAGTTGAAATCCACCTTCATTAATAGCACTGAGGTGAATATTACTTAAGTGTATTTATAGCAATCTACTATTACAAAGATTGCAGGTAGATCAATGCTTTAAACTTGCGTAGTAGGAATTCCTCCTCATCTCCCTAAATCTAACCCATATTTTGAAACTATGCCCCTCAGGTCTACAGTTCTCCACAAAAGGAAACATTCTTTCAGCATCCACTGTGTAAATCCACCTCAGAACGTTATATGTTTCAACAAGATCACCTCTCATTTTTCTAAACTTCAATGAGTACGGGCCCAACTAGCTCAAGATTATCTCATCAGAAAATCCCTTCATCCCAGGAACCAGTCGAGCGAAACTTCTCTGAACCGCTTCTAACACAGGTATATCCTTTCCTAGAAAGGAAATTGTAAGGAAAAAGAAAACAAAACTGTAAATTATATTCTAGATGGGGTCATACTGATATTATGTACAGCTGTAGGAAGACCTCCCTACTTTTATGCTCTAATTCCTTTGCAATAAAGACTGACATTCCATTGGCCTTCATAATTAATTGCTATGCCTAAGCATATCACAGAGTCATAGAGATCTACAGTACAGAAAAATGTCCGTCAGCCCATTGAGTCTACACCAGTCTAAAACAACCACCTAACTATTCTATGAGATAGTAAGAACTGCCAATGCTGGAGTCTGAGATAAAACAGTGTGGAGCTGCTGGAACACAGCACGCCAGGCAGCATCAGAGGAACAGGAAAGCTGACGTTTCCAGTCGGGACCCTTCTTCAGAGGGTGAAGAAGTGTCCCAACTCGCAACGTCAGCTTTCCTGATCCTCTGATGCTGCCTGGCCTACTGTGTTCCTCCAACTCCACACTGTTTTATCACCTAACTATTCTAATCCCATTTTCCAGCACCATGTCTATAGCGTTGTATGCCTTGGCATCACAGGTGCACATCTAAATACTTCTTAAATAATTAGAGGGTTTCTGCTTCTACAACACTTACAGACAGTAAGTTCCAGATTCCTACCATCTTCTGGGTGAAAAAAAAATTCCTCACATCTCCTCTAAACCTCCTCCCCCTTACCTTAAATCTACACTCCCTGGTCAATGATCCATCCACTAAGCAGAACACTTCTTTCTGTCTACTCTATCTATACCCTTCATAATTTTACACATTTCAATCATGTCTCCCCTCAGTCTCCTCTGTTCTAAGGAAAACCAGCTCAGTCTATCCCATCCCTCCTCATAACTCAAACTCTCCAACTTAGACAACACCGTGGTAAATCTCCTCTGCATCCTCTTCAGTACAATCACATCCCTCCTGTAATGTGGATTCCAGAACTGCACACTGCTCTGGCTGTGGCCTAACCAACTTTTATACAGTTCCAGCATAACCTCCCTGCTCTTAAACTCGATGCCTCAGCTAATAAAGGCAAGTATTCCATATTCCTTCTTAACTATTTCATTATTTGTCCTCCTACATTAAGGGACAGTGCACACCAAGGTCCCCCTGATCCTCAATGTTTCCCAGGGTCCTACGTTCAGTACGTATTCCCTTGCTTTGTTTGTCCTGTCCAATTGTATCACTTTAACAGAAATAGCGAAGTATCTAGAGGAAAATTATATTTGGAGCTCAATTTGTTGCAGTGCATTATAGTGCTGTTAGAAGGACAAAAAACAGTCTTGATGTTATGTTTAAAGTTTAGTGATCCTTTGAAGTATATACTTTTGCATATACTTAGTATGTTAGAAATGTAATTGTTTGCATGTTTGAATGAGCAGTTGGACAGGTTAACTGCTTGCTAATGAATAATAGCTTTGAAATACAAACTAACAGCTCGATTCCTTGGCTCTCTACTGCTTTCTGATTCGTGACCGTTATCATCTACTACCAATGGAACGTAGATGATTTTGGTTTATTTAACATCAATTAAATTTTGTTTACTAACTGAACATATGAGTCGTTACTGAGGCCAATGGTGCTTCAACTTTTGGTTAAGGTGTGAGACAAACAAGACTTGTTCTACTCAGTTTGTTTATAAATTATTATTACATGTATATTCAAAAGACAACATTATGAAGCTAAATCTTTTAATTGCTCAACTTTCACCAACAATTGTAGGATTCCATGAATGGAATAAGGATTGATGAGCAGAAAATAAAAGGGCACACCACTTTAACAGTGGAAGCAGTTAATCCATATAGTCTGTATTTCCTAATTCAGTACAAATTACACATCATGAATTTGCCCAGTCTCTATTTCTGTGGAACTCTGACTTTTGATTTTACTATCGCTCCTGCTACAATTTCCAGCACAAATTATCTGAACAGTTGGAATGGACAGGCTTCAGGAAGAGTCTATCAGCAAATTTTGACTTATGAGAGAACATGTTGGACAACGGATAGTTCTAGTCATGAGAGCCAAGGCTCAGCTTAGACAGAGATTTTCAAAGCCAGTACTTCAGCAAATATAAAAAATGATCTGACATATTTTGCAACAAGGGATAACTCCACCAGCTGTAAAATGGTCAACATTCACATCATGTGAAAATATCTGTGTAAAAATCTAACTAACCTTTTGAAAACAATGCTTTGAGGAAACTGTCTAGAAAGGAAGATGTGTAATAAATGAAGGGTGACACACATTGTTTGTACCACTAGAGGGAGGTTATATTTGAGGATAAGGTGGCCCCAAATCTACTGGGAAACTAGTACGCAGAGGGTGAGCTATGCTTTTCATACACCTGGTCACATGGTCCCAGGAAGCACCTTCAGTTGATGATGGGATTTTGTTAAAACAATTCCAGCATGTGGTCAGCATTACCCGAGCCATTCATTGTCATCCCACCTGTTTTGGGAGGGGATTGCAGGAAATTCACTTTGCAACAGCCTCCACCTCTTAAAGGCAGCAATTTTCATTTCCGTATGATTTTCATGTCATCCTCCATCATATTCTGTACTTTCTCCCTACAGGCGCGACAAGACTGACTATTTCCTTCGGTGCTTTCAGTGGGATCTTCTGTCAAATCTCCTGATCCTGTCATGACTCTAATTCATCTTCTTGGGTCAGGGTGTTTAAATATGCAGGATAGCCTCCCACTAAAATTTTTGCCATACACAGAAAGCCGGAGCTGCTAGGCAGAAATATACAAATGTGACACAGCAACAAAGTTGTCACTGCGAGTTAGTACGAAACAGTAGTTAGGTTTAAATACACTTTGCCTAGAATGCTAAATTCCAACAATGGTCACCTGAAATGGTAGTAGTTTTATCCTGCAGTACCGATATGCTGAAGGAATTTAAAGCTCATTTTTAAAAAAAGTTACATATTCAAAAGAGATTCAATAGTAGTACTAAACTCAAAGTAACCAACGCAGTCCTACCTTCTGTTTCCCTCTGTAATCTTCACCTTCAAAACTATATAAACTTTCTGTTTCCATTGTAAACGATCGAAGAGAACTCTCACCAAGGTTTTGCAAACGTTCTTTCAGTTCAGCTGTCTATAATGGAGAAAATAATTTTCTTTAATTACATTTTCAGGCTGCACCCTAAGACCATTAATAAAGGCAGGTTCCAAGTGAAATACAATAGCATTAAAAAGTAGAAATTAAACACGCGAAGAAGTGCTTCTGAGATTTAGTTCGCACATATAATGCTTAGTATTAACAATCAAGTCAGGGAGAGAGGCACAGAAAATTCACAACGTCTAAAATCTGAATGTGACTCCCCTGACAGCCTGACCTGTTAAACAGTAGACAGATTATTCACACAGACCAAGAAAGGCTCAAGATTGATGCCTGGCCATTGTTAACTGGGCTGACAGCAAGGGACTTCAATTAACTTCAGAACACCTTAATTCGTAAGGAGAAAAACCATAATGAAGATTTGTGCCTGAATCACTAGCCAGCAACTCTTGCTGGAAGTATGTGTGTACAGCATCAGGCTCAGATGAAATACCCTCCACCAACAGGCAGGTAACATGTCAACATTGTCAATGGCCAGCAGCATGGTTCAACCTGCACTACTTAAAATAATGGAGAATACTGAATTTCCAAGCATTAATATTTCTCTCATTATAATCACAACATTCACATCACAAAGAAAGTACAGAGAACGACATATTGTATAATTAACTGTTAAGAGCAGGAAGACATGGACTCATTAAATATTTGATAATTGTACCTTCTTTTCTCCTCTCTCCAATATAGTGTCAATGTCCTCATCTGTTAGCTCACTGTCTTTGGTAGCAAAAACATGGGTTGCACCATGGCGAATCATCTGTAGCATTTCATCTTTGCCTAGTTTGTTGGTCTGTTGGTCAATGAGCCTACCTAATAAAATAAAGAAATGCCAAATGTCCAGGTGTACTTTTGAAACAGATTGGACTTCTAAAAAAAAACTTACTCCATTAAGTCAGTAGTAACCAAAATAAGTGAAGAATAAAAGCAAATCAAGAAGGAGACTGCCAGGTAACAACAGTGGTTAGCACAGCACCAGACACCCAGTTCGATTCCACCCTCGGTCGACTATCTGTGTGGAGTTTGCACATTCTCCTCATGTCTGCATGTTCCAATTTCCTCCCATAGTCAAAAGATGTGCAGGTTAGGTGGACTGGCCATGCTAAATAGTCCATAGTGTCCAGGGATGTGCAGGCTAGCTGGGTTAGCTGTAGGAAATGGAGGGTTACAGGGATTGGGGATGGGGGTGAGGGGAGGGTGTCTGCGTGGGATATTCTTCAGAGAGTTTGTGTGGACTTAATGGCCAAATGGCCTGCTCCCATACTTGTAGGGATTCTATACTTCTGTAATACTGGTATCGACTAGTTCATTGTGATAATAACAACCAAGTGAATATCTCTGCTAACTCACTCATCACATAACCAAGACCAGAGAAACCAAGTGCGAGTTTGTTCACTTTCCCTTCATCCTCTCATTGCCAGACTTATCCTCACTGACTGAGCAATGTATGCTATGGATACAAGTGCAGCAGTTCCACTCTAATTCCTCCCCCAAGCAGCCATTCACCACATATGAGTACCTGCTGACTTCACCTGCATCGTCTTCCAGGATGGATGCAGTTGTATAGGAACAGGAGTAGGTCATTCAGGTTCCTAGCCAGTTCCACCATTCAAGGAGAACATGGCTGATCTGAGGCCTATCTCCATATACCTACTTGCCTTTGGCCCATTTCCCTTAATAGCTTTTGCTTAACAAAAAAGTACCTCAGATTTAAAACTAGCAACTGACACAGCATCCACCGCTGTTTGTAGAAGATAGTTCCAAACATCAACCATCCTGTGTGTAGAAGTGCTTCCTAACATCTCTGCTCAATGGTCTAGGCCTAATTCTCAGATTATGCCCAATAGTTCCTGAATCCCCAAATATCTTTATCTACCCTGTCTATTCCTGTTAATATCTTAAAACTTCAATCATATCACACCTTAACCCTCTAAATTCCAGAGAAAATTAGCCTAATTTGTGTAATCTCTCCTCATAACTTTTAATGCTGAAGTCCAGATATTGTTTATGTTGCATTGTCCCTCCAAGGCCAATATATCCTGCCTAAGGTGTAGAGCCCAGGTCTGCTCACAGTACTCCAAGTTGCATCTAATCTGGTTTTTGGCCAGTTCTCATATGTTGTGTACAGTATGATGCAGGATTCAACAGATAGCATTCATGGTGAGAATTCTGGAAGTATCCCCCTTCTGTAGCTTATCGTGTCCAGCTGGCAGAAAATGTGGAAATGAGAAAGACCAACTGTGTCATCCTAATGGCTATTAAAGCTAAGAACAACTAACTAAACACAGGCTGTGAGTTGTAATGGATACTTTTGTTTGCATGGATTGGTACACACCAAACAAAGTATTATTCAGCTCTAGATCATCAGGAAGTTAGCTTGTATGTTGTATAAAGTGATTATGTTGCACATACAATCATAGAACTGCAGGAGGCCATTCAGCCTGTTTCAGTGTTTTTCGAAGAGCAATCCAATGAGTCTCACTCTTATTTACTTCCAATAGCCCTGCAATTTGTTTCTCCTTCAAGTACTTATGTAATTCCTTTTAAGACTTACTATTGAAACTATTTCCATCACTCTATCAGGCATTGCACTCCAAATCTCAACCATCTGATGTGTTAATAAGGTTACTTCATGTCACTTCTGGTTAGTTTGCTAATCTTTGCCATTTGGTAGTAGGTCCCTTAGCTGTTAAAAAGATTCTCCTTATGTCATATATCTAAATCCTTCTTGATTTTAAGGATGTCTATCAAATCTCCTCTTAGCTTTCTCTGCTCTAAGATGAAGCACATCAGTTTCTCCAATCAAATAGGAGCAATACTTTTTTCCCTGTGAATATTCTAGGGGAGGCAAAGGTCTGGTGGTATTTTCACCATGCTGTTAATCCAGAGACCCAGGTAAAGTAATGGTTCAAAACCAGTCATGGCAGGTGGTGGAATTTGAATCCAAGAAAAGTCTAATGATGACCACAAAACCTTTGTCAATTGTCAGGAAAAACCCATCAGATTCACTAATGTCCTTTAGAAAAGGAAATCTGCCATTCTTACCTGGTCTGACCTATATGTGACTCCAGGCCCTCTGGGCAATAAAAGGCCAATTGATATTCATATCCCATGAATTAATTTTTTTTTTAAAAATTCTGGTTAAGTTATTCTATATTGTCTCCATAGCATTTGAATTCTTCAGGTTCTCAGGATTGGGCACAATTCTCCAAATTAGGCCAGACTAACATTTCAATTAGCATAAACTTCTAGCTTTTGTACTCTATGCCTCCATTTATAAAGCCTGGGAAAACTCACTTGTTAACCTGTCCACCTACCTTCAAATATTTACACACGAACACTCCCACGCAGCCTCTTTAAAATGTTACCATTTAATTCACAGTCTCTCTTCCCATTCATCCCATCAGAATATAGTATTCACATTAAATTTCAATTGCAATGTGCACACCCTTTTCACCAGTTTATTTATGTCCTCTTGAAACCTCTTGTCATCTGTTTAGTGACTGCCAAATTTTATATATCTGCAAATCTCAAAATTTATGCACTGCACCAAGTCAAAGTAATGTACATCAAAACAGTGATGATTCTATTGTACTAAACATGAGGAAACACCATGACACCTTCCACCAGAAAAAAACCCAGCTTATTCACTACACTTGTTTTCTATTTGTTAGCCAGTTTTATATCTAAGCTCTTGATGCATGTTTTCACTTTGACTAACGAGTTTGATTTGCAGGACTTTATCAAATACCCTTTCAATGTCCAAATACACAACAGCAACAGCACTGCCCCTACCCACCCTGTCCATTAAACCTCAATCACGTTAATCATACACAAGTTACCCTTAACAGATCAGTGCTGGCCCCCCCCACCACCACTTTATACATTCATGCTTGTCCATAGGACTCTTCATTTTCTCCCGAATTATTGATTCTGAAAGCTTTCCCACAGTTGACTTTAACTTAACCAGCCCTTAAATGTTAGGGTTATTAGTTTCTCCCCTTTATTGAACAAGGTATAACATTTACAGTTCTCTTGACATCTAGAGTCACCCTGTAACTAAGTACAATTGGAAGGTTTTAAACAATGTATTTATGAGATGTGGCCTTCACTGGCTAAATATGCATTTATTGCCCATTCCTAAGTGCCCTTAAGGTGGTGGAGAGCTGCCTTCTTGAACCAATACAGTTGTTGGACTGTAGATCCATTCACAGTGTTGTGAGGAAGAGAATTCTACGACTGACATCTCCTCAACTTCAATTCTTTCTCTCCCCAGCAACAAAGGATGCCTCCCGAGAGAACAAAGTGACTTATCCATTTTAATTACAGCCAGTTTTCCCATACTAACTCCTTGTTTTTGTCACATCCGGTATCCCAGAAACCACCTTGTTTCCACTGGCACAGTCCTTTTCCTTGCTGGTGCAAAATACTTAGTAAAACTTCAGCCATTACCTCCACTAATACATCTTCATTTAGTTCCTGTTTCAGCACCACTGCTCCTGACAACCCTTTTTACTCTTCAAATGCCTACAGACGACCTTTGAATTCACTTGTATGTTAGCTGCCAATTTACAGAAAGATGATGTGGTGCAGTTAAGTGTAGTCAGGTTCTACTGTAATAAAGACAGATGTCGAATAAAATTGACTAGGGTGGCTGTGAAAATTGGTATTATGGTGCCAAATGTCACATGTACAATTATATCAAGTCTGTCAAAAGTAATGGAATTACAGGTGGATGTTATATGATGCAAGTGCTAGTTGTGACTGAATAAATGCAGCAAATTCTATTCATGCAGTCCTTGTACAAGTATACAACTAGATTCAAATATTAATTATCTTGTGAGTCAGGAGTGTGTGTATGTGTATGCGTGTACTGTGTTGGGAGGAGTGGGGGTGATGGCGAAAGAGGGGTGCGGAGTGTGTGACAGAGAGAGAGAAAACGAGAGAGAACTGGGTGAATTTGTGTTCAAATATGATTCAGGAAGTAGCATCCCTATCCCTAGTTATCTGCCAACAGCACAGAAACAATCCAATCAAGCAGCAGTTTGCTAGCTCAATCAGCAGCCAGGAATAGCTAGTGTGAGGTACTGGTAATGAGGGTGCTGATCTATAACTGGCAATGCAATACACTGCAGAAGAGGAAGTGTTTTGCATTAAATTTTAATTGGGATTGCATGATGCCAAAAGTGTGTGTCCTAATGAAAAGTAATTTCCCAGAGTCACATAACAAAAGAAAAAAAAGTGAAAACAAAAGAAAAAGTTGGGGGAATTTGAAAAATAGCAGTTATGGCATGTACTATTCTCTCATGAAAATCTCAATACAGCACACAATGACTTGGTCAGCTAAGATCTGAAACAAGAACGTTAAAGCTTAAGAACTCTCTTTTCACTGTAAGGCACGTCTTCTTTGCATCCTCGTTCCCCAGCCCTGATCTTGCTGATAATTTCCATCTCCCACAGTGACCATACTTATGGTATTATCCACTGAAAGTTTGAAGTTCAAAATCTGGGTGTGTTTACTATGCTAATTCCATGACTAATACAGAACTGGTTCCCAGGTTGTGAACAGGTGTAATTCGGGAGTCTGTTTGTAAGTTGGAACACAATGAAAGACAATATAAAGGAGTTGTTCGTAAGTACAGGAATTGTTCATGTTGGATCTTTAAAATTACACCCCAGTATGAGATTGTGTTCATAAGGTCGAATGTTTGTGAATTGGTACCTCATGTATAGAAATACTCAACGGAGGGAAGTCAAAGGATTTTCACATCATTTAAACATTTGTTGATTTGGTCCAACTGATAGCACTTTTAACAAACAGTCTGGAGGTCTGTGTGTTCAGTGCCTGCTCTATGATTTGAATTAGTGACACAGCTAAAAGGCTGCTTGCTTGTTAGTCTGACTGCTTAATATCAATCAAAGACCCTATGACACCATTTGAAGGTTGGGAGGAAGTTCTGCGACTCACCTGGCCAACAATACCTCATCAACCAAGATCACTCAAAAAAAAATTTAACTATTCATCAATCTCACTGGGTTTTATGGGGTCTTCTCATGTATAAAATGGCCCTCACTTTTGCCCATAGAACAGGAGACTGCAAAACATGCCTTAAGAAGTGTGGTTTCTAATTGTTCCAAAACAAAAATTGAATTCCATTTCTTTTCTGTTACTTTGTAAAGCAAGTATCAATAGTGAATCATAACATCATCATCAGTGCAGACTCCGATGAAGATACTGATGATGTTACCCAGCAGGGTAATGAAACGTATGTTGGACAACAAACCAGCTCGGCAAGCCAACCAACCTCAATTTCCTTGGTGTTTCTTACAGCGCTTTCAATGATCTATGATCTACATTTTACAATACGGGCATATAGGCTGTGTAAGTGATAACATGAAGATCACTGTTTCACTTCATATAAGTCACAGAAACGCCCAGATTTTCACCAAATCGGAAAGTATCAGGATTCGCTTATAAATGGCAGGTGACACCCGATTCTGGGATTCCCATTCCAATTTCAAGCATTTTTTGCTGGCATGTTATAAAGATAAGGGAATCAGCCTGTACTCAGCATTGACACTCTCACTGGCTCCATTGGGCAGGTGGGCAGTTCAAACTCCATCTTCCCCCTCCACAATTTTAGTGGAGTCAAACCCTTCAGCTATAGCCTCTCAGAACAGGTGTGACCCACAGTGGAACCCAAGTCCTGGTGGGCAAACTATAAAAAGCAACCTGCTTCTGATATTCTTACAGTGACAGGCTTTGCAATACACACAATATTTTTTTTCTGCAATACTTATACGTTGTATTGTCAGAAAGATGCGTGTTTGCTGCAATGACCGAGTATAGGGCTTTGTCCTGCAAAGATACATTAAGCATTACGTTGACCAGCATTATGTGTTTTTCTTCATGGGGGGAAAATGCATTCAAAACTGAAAACAAAAAACACTCTAGTTAATAATGTGAAGTGATTTAAATGCCCAAAATCCTCTTGAATTGAAAACTTCCAGCAACTTTCAATTAGAGGATTAAAAAAAGCCACCATCTGTTGTTCCTGGACTGTTTTCATTGACAGGGCATCTGATATGGTTTCGAAGGAGACAAAGACTATTTGTTTCTTCAGTTTCGACAGAGTCCATGGTGAGCACTTCCCAGGGTTTGTTTTGAAAGCTGAACCTACTGTGAATGCTTGGCTGAATTTCAGATGCTCATCACGGGGCTGAGATTACAATTTGATTGGCAATTTTAAAATATTATGAAAGGATTATCTGTCTAAATGTGGTTACAAGAGATTGACCACTTTAGGAGATTTAAGTTTTTAAATGAATTTTGTGAATGAGAATTCTTTTCAAGTGTCTGAAAAAGAAGTTTTGTTCTTTTAATCTCCATTTCAAAGATATGATTTTTAAGGTATGCCCACAGTAGATAATGGGTGAATGGCTAAGGAGGATAAATAGGTGGCATGGGAAAATAAAGGGAGCAGGGAAGTATGAGAGCAGGGAGGGTATGGGGTGACATGGGCATGTAAGGGAGTACGGAGGGTATAGGGACATGGGGAGCATTGGGGGCATGAAGGTATGTGCATTGGGATGAGGAGTGATGGTTTGGGGACCTGGTATTTCATTCTAAAACTGGACCAATGTCCCAGTAAACAGGGAAGGGCATTCCAACCTGCCAACCCCACCATCCGCTATCTCCACTGCCAAGTGAAGCCAGCCAAAGGAGGCAGCAGACCATAATCTACAGTGCCCTCACCCCTTGGAATGACAACTTAGCAGGCGGGGATATTTTTAAAGGAGACAGGTTTTCTGATTCAACTTTCCTCACTCCACGATGAAAAGCCATCCCCATGTTTCTAAGTACGCAAGAATGCTTTGCCACACTTGGGAATCCAACAGATTGAGTATGTTGGCTGGCCTAATTATATATCCCTGGTCAGCGATGTATTCATACCTTGTTGAATAACAATGGAATCAAGTCGCAGCTTCATCTCCGCCCTTTCCACAATCCTCTCTTCCACGGTGTTGTCTGTGATCAGCCGAAATACACGAACTGTTTTCTTTTGGCCAATACGATGTGCACGGTCCTATTTGTGAAAGAGCATCACAATTATATTTTAAATGTCATATGCGCAGAATAAAAAAAACTGTACACTTTACTAAAGATTTTTTTATTCATTCATTGGATGCAGGCCAGCATTCATTGCCCATCCCTAATTGCCCTTGAGAAGGTGGTAATATCTTGCTGAACCACTATAGTCCTTGCAGTTTAGGGATACCTAGTGCTATTAGGAAAGGAATTCTTAATAGGCACTAATAAGAGTAATGAGTGTCATTTGTAAAGAGCAGGTTAAAGGTTTAAATCCTAGCAGTATTATTAGCCTGAGCGACACCAAAGATAGTGCAAACAGGTTCAAATACTAAGGATTAAAATTAACCCTCTTTACTCTGATGAAATGACTTGGTTGCAGATAGTGTACCTTTGAATATCAGTTGAGGGTATGATGAGGCTCAGTTTATGTAATATCATAAACAACAGACTTGACTGTCAATACCATCTATACACACAGGAGTGTGCTGGAGGAGACTAATATCTGATGCACCATATCTTGAGTAAGCCATCAACCCCTTTAGAAATGGAGAAAAGACATAAGGAAAGGAAGGAAACATTTCAACCTTACAACAGAAACAGGGCAACTGTGTACATAAATAATGAAACTCTGCTCCTGAAAACCTCAAATTTCTTTTGCAATTACCAATCTCCTTTGGTTTGATGAATTATAGAATAATTAAATTTCATTAATGATCCTAAATTTTCTACAGTTTTAACTACTTGGGTAAGAGAACATAAAAATTACTCTTTGCCTAATTGATCATATAGTTCATACCATGAAAGAACAGAATCCTCTGTGTAATAAAGGCAGGGAAAAGGAATTGCTACTGACAGTTCAGCAAACTTTGCAGAATCCCAGTAGGCTATTCTACTGAAAATAGAGTTTTTAAAGAAGTTACACTTTCAATAACATTTCTGACCGAGGGTTTCCTACAGAATTATTAACTCAATTGCTCTCCTTTTGGATGCTGACAGATCAGCTTTTACTTGTGTGTTTGCACCCTCTTGTGGTCATTTTGTATATATGTATACAAAAGGTAAAAAAGGCTTAGTTTGAGTCAATTCTCAAAATATTATCCGTTCTTTCACCGTAAGTTATAGAGTCATTGAGCTCTACAGCACAGAAAAAGGCCCTTCAGCCCACTGAGTCTGTGCCAGTGAAAAGTAACCACCTAACTATTCTAATTACCTGCAAAGATGTGACATTTGATGATGAGGATGGGATTGTGGATGCTCCTAGTTGAACAAATTTGGTTTGGATAAACTTCCAGCAACTCAGTGGAGGAATTATGAGGATTTTGTTCAATGATAAATACACATGGCTGGACTTGCCTTCAAAGGTCGTTGCTTCAACAGGTCTTCTTGGGAGACTGGGGCAGTACACGTGTCATTGAAAATCTTTTGCTACATGTTTGATGAGGCTCGAGATATTTTTCACTGCTATCCTGGATAGTCCTGCTATCTCTCTGCTATAAGGGAAAGGAAAACGACAATACTTTGGACCAGAGCAGATCCAGAAGTGTTTGGAACACTCCAGCTTTTGCACACCTTTCCTAAACCAAAAGACAGTGCTGTCAGACATTGTGTGTGAACTTGAGCAACACCACAAGCTCAGGCCATTGGACACCGCAGAAAACTATTCGTCTGGGACAAGGAATCAGTTACCTAGTGAAGACATTGGAAAGTTTATCGTTGTTTTGAAAAAGCTGTCCATTCATTCTCGTTTTTGGAGAATTTCAAGAGGCAGCAATGTAGGACAGTTTTGAGTGCAGTTTTAAAACTGAGGGCATTTGCAGTAAGTTGCTAATATTTCCAAAGTTAAACCTTCAACACAGTTTGCCAAACAGCGTTGTCCATGGATACGGCAGAATATAACTTGAGAGAAGTCCAAGTTAACAACCACCAGGTGTCTGCTGAAGGAAACAAGCAGCAAGTGGGTAAGCTGAAAGGCCCAATAAAAGCAATCCAAACTTTTCAGGAAGGTGCACCACTACATACCATGGCTTGCAAATCCACTTGCGGATTCCAATCTGAATCATACAAAATAACAACATCTGCTGTTGCAAGGTTGATACCAAGGCCTCCAGCTCTGGTACTCAGCATGAATATGAACTTCGAACTGTTGAAAGCATTGAAAGAATCTATTGCCCGCTGTTTAAAGCAAAGATAAAAGAAAATCAATGAACAGAACGGCAGGATTTAGTCAGTTCACAGTTAAAAGATTATTATGTTTCTCTTTCAAATGGTAACAGACCCATTGCGCATTTTTAGAATTTTACTTTTCGAACAAAAGCAACTGATGAGGTTTGAACTGACATTTATATCTTGAAAAAAATTTAATATTTACAAGGCCAGGCAGGCTAAAGATGATGGTGGACGCAATAATCCAAAACAAAACAAACTGACATTTGGAAATGAATGGGCAAATAAATTAAAATCAGCATGGATTTATTGGAAAAAAAATCACACTTGAATGATATGTTTGAATTCCTTGAACAGAGAAGCTTGATGCATTTGATGTTGTGGCACATGAACTTTTATTAAGTGTTTGACGAAGTGTCAGAGAGCAGACTTGTTTGCAAAATTGAAGCCTATGGGATTAAAGGGTTAGTGGCAGCCTGGAGAAAAAAAAATGAAGGTAAGGAAAGTAGAGGATAATGATGAAGTGTGTTCTTCTGGGGCTGGTATAAAAGCTATTGCTCTTTTTGATATGTATTCATGATTTAGTGTAAAGGGCAAAACTTATAATTCCGCAAAACTGCATACAAATAATAAGGCGAGTAAATTAGAACGTGCCATCTTGAAGGGCAGAAGTAGAATCAATTATAATTGAATTAAAAGTTAATTCCATAAATATTTTGACGAAAAGATTTTAGAGGGCTCTTTTTCAATTCATTCATGGGTTATGGGCACTGCTCGCTGGACAAGCATTTTATTGCCCATCTCTAACTGTCTTGGAGAAGTTGGCCGTCTTCTTAAACTGCTACAGTCCATATGCATTAAGAGCTTCTACGGTGCTGTTATAGGAAGGGAGCTCCCCAAGAATATTGACCTCGCAACAGTGAAAGAACAGCGGTATCGTTCCAGGTCTGACTGGTGTGTGGCTTGGCGGGGAACCTGGAGGTTGTGATGATCCCATGCATCTGCTGCCCTTGTCTTTCTAGATGGCAGAGACTGCAGTTTAAATGGTGTGGGAGTAGGATTAATTGTCTACCAAAGCGTACAGGCCTGAGGGTCAAATGCGCTCCTTCTAAGCTATGTCATTCTACGGCCTTAATGTTTATTGGTGTGCTTTCTGATGATCAGGGGAGCTGGAAAGAGGTTTCAAACAAGGAGACCCAGAAGTATATTCCCCACACTCTTTTTTGGTTTGGAAGATCAGAATTCCTGCCTGGAGATCAGCCTGATCGACTGACATCTATGCAGGTATTAAACGTACCATTCAAAGACTCTAATGGCTTAACCATGGTTAGAGATAGCATGTGACCAAACAGCAAATAAAAACATTATCCCAGCTCTATGACAATGTGACACCTCAGGCAGCACAGCAATCGTATTTATCAAATATGTCTCCAAGCTCCTAAACTAGAGCAGACAGCTACAAGTGAAATCAGGTGACATCAGCTGGGATGTTCCCAGGCATAGATAGCAGATGGTGACAGGATTGGGTCAGATTATTCAAGGATATCACAAACTAGCCCAACTCAGTTTCTACACTGATACAGTGCCTAACAGAGCTGTACAATGGAGAATCAACAGCGAAGCACAAAATGAAGCTCCGACCAATGATTTTCTGATCTTCATGACCCAGACATACACTGGGCAATGTTACTACCAATTAGCTCATCAGTGAAAGCTGGGCAAGTACATCATACTTTAGGGAAAATGTGAATCATCACCGACCTCTCTTTCTTCATGGGGAGTCTGTCCATCAAGACGACAATAGTCATAGCCACGCCACATACAATAATCTTCAAGAATATCCATCAAACGAGTCATCTGGCTGAAAATGAGGACTCTGGAACCTTTAGGACAAACAGTTAATAAGAAAGCAGGAAAAAAAAATCTCTCAAGTTCAAAGAGTAAGGTATCAGCAGCTCTGCAACGCATGTATTTCAGAATTCCTAACTCAATCCCAGATGATGATAAAAGCTAGTTAGAGAAGAGTATTTTCATTAAAAATAAGCAGCATGATTGTGCACATATTAGACGCATACTATATGATAAGTGCCACTTACAAGTGGCAATTTAAGTGCCTACATGATCAAAGAGGACCATTAGGTAACTGGAGCCTCAGAGAAGGCAGAGGCAGTCTCCAAGATAACGCTGCCAGAAGTACCAACTGGAAATGATCCCAGATCTGTTACCTGCACAGTCCTCTCCAGTTGCTACACTGGGACCCACTGCTGCACCCACCACCTAGTTCAGAGACACAGCATCAGCCAGCAAGGCCTCCTACTCCCAGAAGAGCAGCTGAATGGCTGGACAGAGCCAGGCTGCGACGAGGTGCTGCCAGGCAAATGTGATGGTTGCTCCCCTCAAAAGGTAAATCGCTCACTCTCAGCCTTTATCCAATTCCTGCCAGGGTTCAAATCTCTTCCCCACTTCCCAACCCTGTCAGCGGCAAAGCGCGGATTTGCAATGCACTTGGTGACATTATCTGGGCAGACACTTCCTATCGCAGCTAATCTTGTTGTGGCCAGGTAACTGGCTGCATCTCCACATCCGCAGTGGCCACGTTATGGATAATCACTTCACGTTTGTTCCCCACACCAATTAGTTCCATTTCCAGGGTCGTCATTCCAAGACCTAAGCAATTCTGAAAATCAAAGTCAATGCATCCAATAACTCTGCAACCATCTCTTTAAAGTGTGAGCCATTAAATCCTGGAGATTTGACAATTTTTAGTTCCATTGATTATTCCAGCAAATTTTTTAATACTAATGTTTATTCCATTACATCCTTGGTTCCTCACAATTTCTGATCTGTTCTTTGTATCCTGTAGCATGATGCCAGTAACAAAATATTTGTTAAACATCTCTTCCATTTCCTCATTCCCAATTATAATTTCCCCGATGTCTGCCTCCAAGGGATCTAAGCTTATTTTCGCCAAACTCTTCTTACATAGCTGTAAAATCTTTTATAGTCAATTATTGTGTGCTTTACTAGTTTATTTTCATTTCTAATTTCTCCTTCTAAGCAAACTCTTGGCTATCTTTTGTTGATTTTTAAAACTCTGAGTTTAGGACTCCAACCTCAGACTTAATTTTATCACTCTAAAACTTATTGCAAAATTCTATAATACTATGCTCACTCTTCCCCATATCTAATTAACTTTAAGGTTAATAATCAACTAAGACCCATATACATTTTAATCTTAAAAAAAACCTTTTTGGATGACTGCAAGTTTAAGTTGCGTGGAAGAGGGAAGAAGGTCAGAAGAGCGTTGGAGCAGTCATATCTATGTTGGCAGGAGTGAATGTTTGACAGCAGATGAGCTAAGGCAGGACTGGAATGGGTGTGGTTATGTAAATAGTATTTGTTCGTCTTGGTGACGGATGATGTCTGTTTGGAAGCCAATCTTGCAGTGAAATACAAGGTCATGATTACAGAAAGTCTGGTTTAGCCTCATTCACTTGCCAAATCACATTTTTGTGCTTAGAATGTTTCCATTGCTAATTTCTTTTGTGCCAGTGTAGACGAACGCAAATTCGTGGAATATTGGATTACAAACAAACATGATTCACTTGTGCTGAGTGCAGCTGCCTAAAGATTTGCAGTTCTTCTGACATCAATTATGCTTCTTTAAGTTACATAACTGAACCTACAGGAAACCAAACACAATACAACATGCAAACATTGTGGTTTAATCAAACCGCTTTGGAGCTAGTCGTATTAGGACCTGAGATATGACCGAGGGCTTTCATTAATTGTCTCTCTATCTTATATAGCTAAGCTCAACAGCCCAATTGAAGCTACAAATATAAAGGGTGGAGGGTGATAATACAGTGATCACAGCTTTCATTAGGCAGGAATTAGAAAACCCGATGAAGTAAACTGTCCAATTAAAATTAGCACCAGTGCTCTACGAATACGTACTCTGTTCCCTCAACTTAGGCAGCAGCTTATCCAAAACTACCATCTTGCCACAATTGTAAACAAGATGAGTATCTGTAGTGTAAGGTGGACCAGGTTCAGCACCATCAAAGAGATACGGGTGGTTACAGCACTTTCGGAGCTGCATTAAGATGTTCAACAAGCGCATCTTATCCATCTTCCCAGCAGAGTTTAGAATGTCAATGTCCTTCATCAAGATTTTTGTGTACCTAAAAACATAAGAAATAAATATATAAATTGAATTTTAAGTCAAAATCCGAAAGAATTGCAGATGCTGTAAATCAGGAACAAAAACAGACGTTGCTGGAAAAGCCCAGCAGGTCTGGCAGCATCTGTGAAGGAAAAAACAGAGTTAACGTTTCGGGTCCGGTGACTACTCTTCCTCAGAACTGCTCTGAGGAAGGGCCACCGGGCCTGAAACGTTAACTCTGTTTTCTCCTTCACAGATGCTGCCAGACCTGCTGAGCTTTTCCAGCAACTTTGTTTTTGAATTCAAAGTTACTGCGCAATTTTAAAAGGGCAAAACAAAACTCAAACTTGGAGCTCAAGATGAAAAGCAGCCACTTGGGCAAGGTACTGCAGAGCTGCCAGCTCACCAACACCCACTAACACAGTAAAACTTCAGGAGCAGTGAAAAAAAAACCTATGAAAAAACTTCCATATTAAAATCAGCTAAAAGTACATCAAGTATCTTGAGTTGAGATGTGCTTTGGAGCCATAAAGACTGAAAGCAGAAGTAATTTAGTAAGCTAATTTAAGAACGAGAAATTCAACCAGAAAATTTTCTTGTATGTGACTTGTCTTTACAACCCTATTCTCTTCTCAAGACAGCTTTTTAACATCCAGTTGAACAAATAGCCAAACATCATTTTTAACATCCTCAAAGGGAGAGACCTCTGACACACCCAGCATTGCAATGTCAGCCTGCGTCATGTCAAATCATGTTGCAGGGCCAAATTTTACCCAGAGGCGACAGTGCTACCCAAGTGAACAAGTCTGACACTGGAAAACCTTCTGTTTTTCAAACTAGAACATTCTGCTTACTAATGCAGAGCTTGCGTTTGTGAGCAGGCAAATCATTTCCAGGAAAGCTAAAGTTCTTTGATTGCCATCCAAGAGCATTTTACAAATATAAATCCACAACAAAGTCTGACTCCTTCAAACAATACCCTGGAACTTAGCAAGATGCAACAGCAGATATTCACTTACCATTCCCTTTGCATTTTACTGAGGCCGACATAGATCTTGGTCTCTTTTTTAGGAGGCAAGCTTTTTTCAACCTCTGCTTTTATTCGCCGTAGCAAGAATGGTCGGAGTACCTGAAAGTTTCAAAATGAGAAACAGTAATATTATAAAGGGGAGAAAGATGAAAAGCAGAATTTGCAGACTGTTTCCTGCAGAGTGGTAACAATGCAATAAACGTTGTTGGCCAGAAAGTAGATGGAATTGTAGAAATCACCATAATCTTACCAGACCATAGGGATGCATTCTCGTTTTGCAGAGATGACTGGTGGAGGTTTAATCTGAGGGTTACTCATTTAATCAGAAAGTCAAAATGTGTCTTTGAAGTTCTAGAGTTATTATTAAATGTTGAAAAGCAATCATGACTGTTCAGAAATCTGGCCAATTTGTACACTCGCCATCCTGTAATTCCTCAATGATGCTGGATTTAAACATTTTTTCAAGAAATAAGATGGCAATCTTTGTCTCTCGCGATTACTGTACAAAATGTAGCATTCTGTGTCCCAAAGGGGCGATAAACTTACCGCATGTAAACGTTCCACTAACTGCTGATCACCCAGGCAGTTGTTTGTGTCAAACCAAGAGTCAAAATCCTGCATATGCCAAAGAAAAAGTTAGTCTTTGCACAGAAATATGAAAAATTATTTAACTGTTGCCATTTTGTACTATAATTTGCTTCTCCTTCAAAATCACTTGTCAGAATGATTATCCTATTTCCTTTCTCCTATTTTCTTCCTTTTTCTCTCTCCACCCTTGTTGGAAGCAGGTCATTAATAGAAACAGTTCCAGATGGCAACTCAAATCCAGTTTATTGCTGAAGTAGTCATTCGTCTTCACCAACAAAACTGGATTAATGAGCTATGATTGGGCTTTTGGATACAATTAGACGTGTTAAGTCGGCAATAAAAAGTGCAGATCTCACAGCATGTGTTGAAAAAAAGTAATTAGGATGTAGGATTGAGTTTATTTTTAATAATTACTCACAGTCTAATTATATGTAATGATCAAGCAGGTAAGGTATTATTATTTAATTCTGTTTAATTCTGGCTAGTAAGACACTACTGTCACGACATGGAGGCATTTGTCTCTAGCTGCATTCCTGTCATTAACTGAAATTTGCCACAGAGAACATAGAGACATTGACACAATGGTGGAACAGACCCATTTTTATGACTTGCTTCATTACAGGACAAATGTGAGGTCACTTTAATTGAAACAATTTTTGTTTTAAATTGATTTGGCGTATTCACTTAAAATGCCTGAAAGCGAAATATTAATTTATTTTAATGCCCATAAATAACTCTATATATATTTGGATTTGAGATCCAGATCTTCTCTAACGAACCTGTTCAGAGATGTTATTACACACTGCTGGAACAGGGGGGACTTGAACCCAGGCCTCCTGGCTCAAAGGTAGGAAGACAACCACTGCACCACGAGTGCCTTGGATCTGAGTTCACTAATTGGCTTGCAAGTAGTTCTTTGGACTTGTTATTTTCATAAATATGTCTTTCAAGGGATTCTTATTACCTTATATTACCTTTAAATAGCTATATTATTACTATAACTATCATAAGGCAATCTAGGCTGAACAAATGGAAGTTCTTGTAAAACATGTGACCAACCTTACATTTCTGGAGAACAAAGATAGTACAATATTTTTAAATAAAATTATATCTTAGGGAATCAACTATGAGATTAAAGTAAGTGAAATCATTTTTATCAGAGGTGTGCAACGACACAGATTAAAATATACCTGTACCAATGCTGTGGTAAGGTCAGGAGTTTCAGAATTTCAACTTTGCATTAATCAAGGGACAGCAATATATTTCCAAGTCAGAATAGGGGCTGACTTGGAGAGGAACTTGTGGTTTGTGATATCCCTCCATGCTAACTGCTGTTGACTTTCTAGGTGGTGAAGGCCATAGTTTTGGGAGTTGCTGTTGATAAAGCCTTGGTTAGGTGCTGTATTTTATCCTGTGGATGGTAGACATTGTAGCTACAGTGCACAGGAGTGAGAAAAGTGAATATTTATGTGTATGGGAAGCTTAACAAACAGGTTGCTTTGTATTGGACAGTTCACAAACTCCTTGAGGATGGAACTTCATGCACACTGGTTATAGTCTCATCACTGAGACAACATGAACTAATCCAAGCAAACCATCACCAGAGGAGAAGGTTAAGTTAACAGAATACCTTTGCCCATAGGATAGGAAGAGTTGGAGACTAAGCTTGGGATTTGAAATAAGTGGACGCAGTTCTAAAAAGAGAAGGGATTGAGGGATATGATGGAAGGTGGGCAGAATTATGGAAAAGTAACCGGCTGATTAGGACAGAAACATGGATATAACGATCAACATCAGACGTTCAGACCCAAAAGATCTCAACTTACATCAGAAGAATTGAATACATCAGGCAACAGGAAGTTGAGCAAAGCCCACAATTCGTGGAGATTATTCTGCAAAGGTGTCCCTGTCAGTAACAAACGGTTTGTTGATTTAAACTCCCGTACTATTTCAGAGAGCTGAGAAGAAAACCAGAAGTTGTAAGAATTAGATAAATACAAAAACTGAAAAAAATGTGCAATGATACAATGTCTTTCACAGCCCCAGGACAGCCTAAAGTATTTACACACTATATATACTCTTGAAACATAGTTACTCTTGTAAAAAATGAATGAGTGATATATTGTCGCATATATCTAGGAAGATACAGTGAAAAGTGCATGGTCGCCACAATCTGGCGCCATTTTATGGTACAAAAGAATAAAAAGGGAGTACTTAAATGCAATTCATCTTCATTGGCCGGATCCCAAAGATGGCTCCGGGGCTTCTGCAAGGGGCCTACCGCAGCCAGAAGCCCCTGCTCTAGGCACTAACACCACTGCAGTCAACGACTGGCCACCAGTGAAATGGTCCATGCTCCGGCCTACCAAAGCTAGGAGTCCCCGCTCCAACCAATGCATCACCACCATTCCAGGAGTTCATGCATTGGGCCTACAAGCCAGGAGTCACTGTCAACACTGCTCCGGCCTCCCCGTGTCATCAAGAAGATGAAGAAAAGAGAAAGGAAAAGAACAAAGACTAAAGGAGAGAAGGAGAATGTGGCCGGCCCGTAACGGATGGCCTCAGCCTGAACACTACCTACCACGCTGACGCATCAACACAAGCAATGTACAAAAAGCAGCAGCCAATTTGTGAACATCAGACTCCTACAAACAGCAATGTGACAATGATCAGATATCAATCTGTTGTGATGCTGACTTAGGGATAAATATTGGTCAGGACTCTGGGAAGAATTCCCTTGCTTGTCGTCAAAGAAAGTATCCCCGGTGTATGGGCCCAAGCTACGCCTGCCTCTTTGTAGGTTACGTGGAACAATCCCTCTTCCGTACCTACACCGGCCCTAAACCCCACCTCTTCCTCCGTTACATTGATGACTGTATCGGCGCCGCCTCGTGCTCCCACGAGGAGCTCGAACAGTTCATACACTTCACTAACACCTTCCACCCCAACCTTAAGTTTACCTGGACCATCTCTAACACCTCTCTCCCTTTCCTGGACCTCTCTGTCTCCATATCGGGCAACCACCTAGAAACCGATATTCATTTCAAGCCCACCGACTCCCACAGCTACCTAGAATACTCCTCCTCCCACCCACCTTCCTGCAAAAATGCTATCCCCTATTCCCAATTCCTTCGCCTCTGCCGCATCTGCTCCCAGGATGAGGCATTCCACTCCCGTACATCTCAGTTGTCCTCGTTTTTCAAGGACCGTAACTTCCCCTCCTCGGTGGTCGAGAA